CCTTTTGGTCGACCTTTTCTTTTATTAGGTTGGTACGACTTGTCTTTTTTTTGTTCTTAAACTAGATTTTACTCAATTTTTGCATCATTTGTTGATAGATTCACCTTATCTGGTTATCCTCAACTCTATGGTTATGCCGACAGACTACATTCTGTATGTATGAATCTTGTTCCTTCTTTATATTAAATTATCCTCAAAGATCCTTTTAGTCATGGTCTTGATAGAGCCTTTATCCTCTAGTTAGATTCAAACCCACAACCTTGTGACTGTAACCTGGGAGTGCTAACCACTTGCGCTATCGACCCACAGGTTATTAGTTATATTTATTATATATTTTTATAAATTTTGTTATATATTTTATATGGGAATATTAGTGTAGTGCTATGATACCACAGCGCTACCCTTATATAATCAGATTATTAAATTAAAAGGTTTTGATATTGATGAATATAGTGTTATGATACTATCTTTATATAATCTATTAAATAAACTTTTGCTAGATGACATATTTTAACCATTCTTGATCTTTTGCTTTGTTGTTCTATATTTGATTATTTTTTTCTGCATTTTATTTATACTTAGTTGTTGTGTTATATTATCATCTTACCCATCTCTGGTCTTTTGCTTAGTCATTCTACATTTGATTATTTTTTTTGCATTTTACTTACACTTAGTCATCTTGCTACGTTATCATTTTATTCACACCTGATCTTTTGATTTTTTTTCTGTATTTTACTTACTATAGTTGTCGTACTATATTATTCATTCTATCTATATTTGTTTTTGTTCTATTATTTTAACTGTACTTAATCTTTGCCCTATTTATACCTAAATTATGGAGAAACCTGAAGAACTTACTATTAGTAATGGTGCGCTATTTATGGTTGCTGCAACTGATAATGTATTATACGATAATATCCAAGATGATTTTGTAGTTAATGATATCCTATATAATAGCCAAGATGAATTTGATATTATTACTGATTTTTTATATAGAATTAATCAAGATAAATATGAAAATAGCAATATAATGAACTTTGAAGGTGCTCAACACGAGTCAACGGTGGTATATAATAATTGGAATCAAACAATTAATAAAGGTATCCAGAGGGTAGAATTGCAAACAAATATAATATGTCTTAATTGGGATCATGTTATGTAGGAAGTTGAAAAGTATGTGAAGAGGCAAGGATTTAGGTTTCGCTATTATTGTATTGAAAAGTCAAATGAAACAATCTGAAGGTGCACATTAGTTTGTGAGCACTATGGTAAATCTAAGGCAACAAAGAGTAAGAATCCAGAGAAAAAACAACTTTCAAGCATGTTGGGTGTATATAGCAAGTAAATCTTTCATGTCTAGAGAAAAACAATCCTTACAAAGTTATATACGTTACAAAATTGATTGATGAGCATAAGAACCATAATCTTGATCGAGAGTATTATGATTTTCAGAAAAGCTTGGAGTTTACAATAGATATGATTAAAGACATTAAGTTTTTTGTGACTAAAATGAATTGCAGCCCTTAGCAAATTCGCAAGGCCTTTAAAGAGAAGTATTGCGTGAAGATTTATATGCTAGTGTTATACAGGATAATTTGGCAATTTTGGCCCAAATCACATAACTATGCAAATGATGCAGATTGTTTATATGATGAATTATTAAAGAAAAAAGAAAGTGATCCTCGATAGTATATTGAAGTAGATTGGGATCCTGACAGAAAATACCTTCACCGATTATTCTATATGTCCTCTGATCAAATTGAATAGTGATTAAAGTTTGGCGATATAATTTTAAATGACAATACTTCATCTACCAACCATTATGAGATGACACTATCTCTTTTTTTGGTGGTTGACAATTATTTGTCTTCTCAGTTGATAGCTCAGGCCTTAACAGATGATAAAACAAAGAAGCATATTGTTGAATATTACAACAATTCAAAAAGGTGATATCTGAATATTCTGCATATTATGTTTACTGATGCTGACCCTGCTCTGGTTGCTGCAATATGAAATGAGTTTCCAACAGTCAATGCACTTTATTAATATTTCATATTGCTCAAAATATTCCACTTAATTTGAAAAATAGTCTTAAAGACCATTATGATGAGTTTATTAAGAACTTTTTTGAAGTACAGCAGAGTAGCTTTATAACCATTTTTGAATACAAATAGAAATGCCTAATCGAAAAATATAATAATGAAAATGTAGTTAACTACTTACAACGAATACTTTATGTTAATAAAGAATCATAAGCAAAGGTGTTTGTACTTAAATTATTTACTATAGGGATATCATCGACTTTTCAGATAAAAAGTTACAATTCTAAAATCAAAAAGTTGATATTTAATTTGAACACAACACTGTTAGAGCTTGCAGAAAAATTGTCTCTATGTATTTTTGAAGAGGATAAAGAACAAAATATGCATTATTTTGTGTATCAATCTCTAAAACTGTTCTTGTCGCAATGGTCGATACTATCTTTTCAAATGTCTGTAATATGTTACAGAAATATCTTACAGTAGAAATGTTAAAAATTCAAGAGGATCAAATTAAACAAGCATTTCACAATATGGCGTAATAGTAAATAAATATGAATTACAACGATATTTTAAGGTAATTAAGAATGTGATCATACTATATTAGAAGATTATCTAAAGCCTACAGATCAATTCATAATCAATTTAAAAACTATAATAACCTCTATATTAGTCGTAACTTGCATTAATAATTCCTAATATTACTTTAAATATTAGTAATCACATATAAATTTAAATTAATTTTAATGATCCTGCCTTATTTGACAATAGCCCAAGTTATACTGATATTATTATCAAATCAATACTTAGCCTTGTTAATAATAATAAGATCTTAGAAATGTGGGAAGTTCGACTAATAATATCTAATGATATACAGCACTTTGTAGTACTTTTGGATAATAGGACTCACTTATATTCTTGTTTTGAGCACTGTAATCATAAAATTATTTGTTGGTATTTTTTTCAAATAATGCTATATTCATAGGCTACAACATTCCATATTCAGTTAATAAGATCACGATAGTATAATGATAATAAAACCAGTAACAATTCTGCTCATTAACCATTTTTTGTTATACAAAAATTTGAAATGGAACAACCAATAATGAGTTGGAGTGGTCCAGTTCCTTATCTTAATATACTAGTTCAGGTTTAAGATATACATAATATAAATTGCAAAATGATAGATAAGTGTAAATTATATGAAGAAGTATGGGGAAAAGCAAGAGCAGCTTGATGATAGCTATTCGAAGAAATAACCACAGTTTTATTGCAATGCTTGATAAGTATACAGATAATTGTAATAAGTTATCATCTGATGGTAATACAGCTTTGAGTAGTGAAAGTGATAATAATTATAATGGAACTGAAAAAAGAAAGTTAAATCTAAATGAGATAATAAATCCTTATAAATGTAAGGGTAAAGGTCGACCAAAAGGGATAGGCAGAATACAACGTGCAGGCAAACTATCAAAAAAGACAAAATATCAATTACATTGTAAAATTTGCGATAGTGCTGATTATAATCGAGCAACCTGTTCTCGAAAGCAAGAATAGTTATTACAATGCTTTTCTATAACTAAAAGCTGTTTATTTTGAGTCTGCTAATAATTATACATTTAAGTAGTACCAAGAAAATTAGAATAAACTTATAATTAGATTTTATATTTTTCTTAGTGTGCAAAATTTGCTATATACTCAATTGTTTCTGTTATTTGTCTAACGATTGTTTTTATGATTAGAGTAGTTATTTAAGATACCAAATTGTTTGTGTCTCATATTTATATTAATATTTCAAGCAAATCAAATGATTCTATATACTGTGTAAGTATAATTTCTTGGACTTTAGTATTACTAGCCTGAAAAAAAATTGCTATTAGAGTCGGCTTTCACTAGATTATTTATTACCGAAAGTTCTCAAGAATAATATGAAGGTTATTTTAGATAAAGTATTGAATTAGAGATAAATTTTTAAATCGTCTTGGTGCTAGAATAGTCTCTAAGTTTTATTTCGATTAAAGTTTAGAAGTTTAGATTTGAGTTGGGATTTTATACTTAGTATGAATCTCATACTTACGTATAACAATATATATTTGAATCTACATAATATGATATATGAAAATTACAAGTCTTGCGAATAGTTACAATATTATCATTATCATGATAGCTAAAGTTATATGATATTCACGTGATTTATGGACGCAATAATAGCTATAGTTAGGGTTAGAGTTAGCATATTCATATTAGTAAAACCAATATTATTGTATCTATTATTGTATCTACAAGCACATAAATATATCTATAGCAATTACCAAAATTTGTCTGTATAACTGTATTGATATTTATTATTAAGTTTTTTTAATATATATATATATTATGTGTTATTGGTTTAGGCTGCAGATAAACTAGTCTGAGTTTCTTTTCTTGTTATCTTAGGATATAAAATTTAAATAGATTTTTTTCTCTGTAAGGATTTCCTTTTCATTGTAGAAGAATCAAATTAAATTTTAATAAAGTTAGAGACATGGTCTCACCATTAATATTCAAAAAAAAAATATATATATATATATATTATTGTTTTTTTTTTTTTAAATATCAAAGTGACCTCATGGTCGGTTGCCTTTTATTAGTTTATGTGCTAAACTAGACAGCTAGCCACTACTCATTTGGTATATGGTTTTAGAGAGTACAACTAGCCACATATACAACTTTTGATTGTCTATTTAAGTAGTCTGCCCTAAGGTTTTACACTAGATACCATACCTATAATCCAACTAGAGAATTATCTATTTAAACTCTCTGTGCTGCTATATTCTTATGAGGTACCAGTACCTGCCATAGGAGGCACCCTGACCTAGAGCTGATTTACCTTCAAGGTAAACTTGCTAGAGCTTTCCATACCTACAATCCGGCTAACCTAGACTTTCAGTAACTTACGCCGAGTCCAAGAACAAGTACTTGCAAGCCAAGGCCGCTACCATTACCTACTTCTGCCCTTGTAGAGTTCATCCAAACCCTAGCATATACTTTACAGACTATTACCAGTATCTCCAACTATTCCAAACTATCAATCTAGATAGCCCAGAAGGGCTGTGACCTGCTCCTGGTCCCCACGATTGGGTCTTTTTTCCTTCAGTTACTCTCCTGGTGGCCTGGTTGGTAGAGTGCCTTGCCTAACACTTCGGTCCTATTCAGTTTTTGCCGGTTCTTCTAGTAATAATTCTTTACATCACACCATCGAATATCTGTGCTACCTCTCTACTCAGAACTTGCCAAGTGGATTCTATCATCTGATTTCTGGTCTCTTGGATTAACATGACTTGTAGGCTTATTCATGTAGTATTATTGTCACACAAATACCCCATGATCTTCCAATCTTATTGGTATCACCAAGGTTACAGAGATCCTGTTTTAACTAACGATCTTCATCAATAGACAGATGACAGTAGCCATTGTACAGGTAGAATTTTCAAAATTTGTCATCAGTGAGTTTTGAACCCCCACCTAGCCAACTAATCGCTTGGTGGTGTGACAACTTGACCACTTCACTAAGTTGCTACACCCATATATATATTATTGTATATATATAGTGTATAAATATAAAATATGAAATATAATAAAAAATATAGCACTATAGTACCCTAGTACTATGATGCTATAGTACTATAAAATAAAACCTATTTTATATTATTATTATATATTTTATATATTTATTAGTTTATTTATATAGTTTACAATATATTTTATTTATTTTA